TGTATATTTTGTTCAATTTCCCATTCTATATGTATAGATCTTTGTGTCCTGTTTGCTTTTAGCTTGTAGATAATCACTTTTATCCGTAAAAATTCAATAAAAAACACTTTGTGTAACATGTGTTACATATTTTGCGATAAATAAAATATTTGTAGGGTTAATTAGAAATGCTTCTTTTCATTTTATCATTGTTGTTATTGTTCCGAACAATGTCACACACAAAAAAACCCGGAAAATATTAAAATTGACGAAAATTCATTTTTTTGGTATTTTTTCCAAAAATGTCCCCAAACTAAAATGTTTAGATTTTCATAAAATCAACTCTACATAGTTGCACAACCATTATATGAAAGTTTCAACGAATTTTGCTGGTTAATTGCGAAAGTGTGGAGCCACCTTAATGGACTAAAATAAAGCTACAGATAAAATATCAGTGTCTTGACTCAGTCATTCAAAGGAACCTGTTGAAAGATTTAAATACATCTGACCCCTGTGACATTGACAGTTTAACAAGGACATACATTTAAACTTAATACCAGAATGCAACTTGACAAATATCATCACTCTTTATCTTTTGTTTATTGAGAAAATGACTTTTAAAGATTTATACACATTTATAGATTTAACCAGATGTGACCTTGAAAGTGTCAAGGTCATTCAGATGCACAAACTTGATAGCTCTTCCTCTGAGCATACTATTGGTCAGATATCACCATCCTTTGCATTTTGGTTTTTCAGAAGTCATTTAAATATTTATTCAGAAGAAGTCATTTAAAAGTTTTTAACATATTTGACCCCTGTGACCTTGAATTGTATTCAAGGTCATTCTTATTATCAATCTTTTCAAACCCTTCATCCCACCATGTTACTGGCTAAATATTATCATCCTAGCCACTTTTTGTTTAGGAGACGTTTAAAGTGAAGATCATTCATTTGAACAAATTGAAAGCACTCCATGCCAGTATGCTTCTAGCCAAATATCATCGTCCTGGACCTTTTGGTTATTCAGAGGAAGTCCTTTATTTGACCCCTGTTACCCTGAAGATTGGCAAAGGCAATTCATTTGAACAAACTTGGTAGCACTTCATAACGGCATGCTACTGGCCAAATATTCAAAAGAAACCATTTAAAAGTTTTTTAAAGACCTCTGTGACCTTGAATATGGGTAAAGGTCATTCATTTGAACAAACTTGGTAGCACTTTATGCCAGCATGCTACTGGGCAAACATCATCACCCTAGGCCTCTTGGTTATTCAGAGTATGTTGTTATAAATGAAAAGTTGATGCCGGATGGCAAACAGACGCTCTGCCATTGTATAAGCTCATTTGGCCATTTGGCCCAGGTGAGCTAACAATTAATTTCAAAGCCACAAGGATGCTTTTAAAGCAAATTGGTATAGATCTATTTTTCTTGCATATTAGACAGAGATATCCACATTTCCGGCCCTGCTGGAAAATTCTATCTGACCCACGGGTCTGGATCGCTTACATGCGCAGACTTGCGGGGGAATAATAGTGACCTTTCGGGGTAACGCTATTGTTCATGACGTTTTGGGGTCAGTCGGGGTCATTGACATCATTAACAGTTGCCATCCGGGCTTCATATACAAATGAGAAATGTGCGGAAAGTTAACAACTTTACTAGAAGAGCAGCTGTTTTTACAGGTTTAAGCAAGAAATAGAATCCATCCCTGATGTGTGGTATGGATAAGGTTATTCAAACCCTCGGGATAAAATATTGACCAGAAGATTTATTCGGCAAAGCCTCGGTTCTCCTGCTAAATATTTTATCCCTTTGGTTTGAATTACCTTATCCATACATCAGGGATGGATTCTATTAGTATGTATATACCAGTATGCTATGGTTTTGGAGCCTGGAACAAAATACCAAGGGACGAGGCCTGACCCCTGTATCAATCCTGGTAAAACAAATGGAGTGTATTTGGTGTTTTTTCATACCTAACAATTGTTACACATGTATAAAGGTGGAGGATCTCATCTGTTTTCATTTAATTACCCAGGATCTAAGTTCCATGGGCTAGCCTGGACCAAGGGACAAATCCTAGTAGTATGACAAGGTCTTGTAGTTTCCTAGCACTAACTCTGCTTAGAGGGAACGCATCTTTATTAGTATTTTGTGGTAGGGGTGGTAGGGATGTTGGTAGTCCGAAATTGACGATTTGTTTCTAAAATATCAGCTTGAAGTGCACTCAGGGCGCAGGTCGCATATTTCCCGCATATTTTAGAGGGCCGGAGTTCTGACGTTAATCGACGACAGACCAATATGAAAAAAGTTGATAAAACGTGAGAATAATTGGGACTAGGATGTTGGTTACCTATACTACTACATTGTCTCCATCAGAACTCAGGATGAGTGGAAGGTGAAGTGGATAAACAACAGTTTCCGCATAGTTTTTGATGATGTGAACCTTTTTATTGTTATAGACATTACGATATCTGTACACAAGTCTTACACAATACATACTATAATTACTGTGTCATTTTTCCTTGACAGTATAAGTTATCGATGGAAACTTAGTTGGACAATAAAAATATCAAACTTAAGCAATGTATGAAAATATCTTGACAAAAAAAATCTATGGGTAGATGAAATATGATACTACAGTATGAAACCTCAAAAAAATGTCTATCTTGCAAAGAAAGTATGTCTATATTGATGTGCGGATAACAATAAAACATACTTAACAACCTTGTCATGATAAATCTGGAGTCTGGACTGTAGTTAATGGGATGGCAATATGTACCAGTTCATATGTTACAGGTTTAATACAATGGATCACACTTCCTTTCATTATACTTAGTACATATGCTGTCCAATTTTAGAATGATGCTGTGACACTGGGACCATTATACTTTGTCAGTAACAAGTTATGTCCCCTTGATGAAGAGTTACAGTTAATATTCATTTGCTTGCTTGTTTATTTGAATTAAAATTTGCAAACAAATGATATTTTTCAAATGATTGTAAATTATATCATCATTAAATCAAGACAAATTTCCATTAATAGTTGTTATTTTGTACAATAATGGCTTTACCATTGTAACTGAGAAAGCGAATTATTAAGACCACCAATATAAACAGACAATTACATATATCATTTCTTGTAGTCTCTTTAAATAAGTTGCTTTTTATTCTTTGATGTGAATAAACAAATCTAGAACTGGTGTCCATAAATCCTTATTCAAAGCCTCATCACCTTGTATATATAATGTACTCACAATATAATAACCTTGTACATGCCGGTAGTACAGTATTTCATACTGATAGTAGAATACTATGTACTGGGAGGTGTCTAGAGTAGTTTATACATGTTACAGGGCACTACATCATTATTATTGCTAGTCAGTTCTAAGTCTATACACTCGGGCACAGCCAGCATACCATACATGCATAATACAATGACACTCTAGTCGACAAGTGATTCTAAATTATCTCTGTAATTCTTATGAGATAGGAAATGGAAATAATTATCATGGTTTGTAAATACACTGTTGTCATAATTATAATAAACATGTGAGAACATCGTAAGACATGTATGATAATTTCCACGGACATCTAACTACAAATGATACAAAAGAGAGGTAAAGAAGATTTTTTTTATATATATATAGGTGACTTTGCCCTTTTGTGTAAAATGGTACCGAGGAACTTAAGTGATTGTATGAAGTTTCCTAGAAATCTGATGACAATTGAAGGTGCTAGAACAATGAGATTTCTCTATATATAGTTCTGTAGACCGTAACCTTTGGTGTGAAATGCTGTTTTTTGACATGAATATTTAATAGGCATATTCATTACTTATGGTAGTTCTACTGGTGTTTTCCCTTACAGTAACAGGCTGCAGTTGTCAGAAGCAGGGTTCTTGTTTAATGACATATTCATGTAAACTAATGACAAAAATTGCATACATTGGAATTTCTATGAATTATCACAATAATGAAACCTTTACCAGGGTTATCCCTTTTCACTAAAGTGATTCATACCTATATATATATATATATTACATGTATGGAAAAAAAGAGGTATTTTTGAGCTCACAAATCAATAAAATTTCGATGCTATGGGCAATTTGACCCTGGACATAAAACATAACTACATGTACACACATTCACTCACTCTATACCAGACCAATTTATCCATTTAACTGTTCTAGTCTGGCTAAAATGACAACATGAAACTTTAAGTCAAATAGTTGAGATCCAAGTTACAATATGGCACCACAATATAAACATAACTACCACCAGATTGTTGCCCGAAGTAGATTTGGGATTATTCTCCATCATAGAAATGTATGAATAGGTTTGATATTCTGTTATCTAATGCTGAATGTCAAAAAACCGTTTTGTTTTTGTGATAAATTCTGCTCACGTCGTTACAAATTAAACTTGAAGTTTACATTTTCAATTAACATTTACAATTATGTATTTTTGTATGATATTCTAGTACTAGTAAGTACAGACAGATCATACGTCATCAGTACAAAACCATTCATACCATAACATGATTAAATTTTCCAGCACTCATTTCTTCCTGGAACTCGCTCATTCTTGAAGTAGCTTACTGAAAGTTGATAAGTTACACATAAAGTATCATAAACAGTTTACTCTCCATTAGATTTCTGGTTCAGAAGTTGAAATGAAGACTTCTTTAACCAGTAACTGCCCTCCAACTTCATCCTCATGCTTTGCTATATTATATTCTCGAGGCTATCCTTTGCCCATAATTGTCAAATGCCATTGTATGCATTATACTTTGTTTGAAGTCGATTTTTCAATACAAAGTGTTGACAAATGAAAAGTTGATTGTCCATTTAGATACCAGGTTCAGAACCATGTGGCTTACACAAAGCTTCACCAAAACTCCAATCAGTCATTCATCCAATTCAATGGATAAAATTTTGGACCTTTCAACTATATTTCATCGCACACATTGCTCCAGGTTCAAATTTCCGTAATTTGTAAATACCACTGTGGTTGTTCAAACTCATACGATCACCAACTTGATCCAAGTCCTCGGAAAACATCACTTATTTTTGAAAACATCTGAAAAACATTATTTAAAAAAAAAAAAAGTTTTAAAAATCTATCAAGTAATTGTTGTTTCTATAATGTGACTCCTGACAAGTTCTCGAAGTTCCTGTAGACAGTAATCTTCTGGCATGGGTAGTCTACTGATATGGGGTGCCAATAACCTGTAACACACAATAGGAAAAAAATATATCTCATTATAGTGTAGTCTTTTTTTTAATTGGTTGTTCATATATGAAATTGAATTCTGGTCTTTGACGGTTAATTTATTGAAGTTGATTTTTGGCTTAGGCAAAATCATGTTGAATGTAACATTTAATTTTTTGAAGTTGAATTTGGTTTGATGACAATTCTTCTATTGCAGTTGACTCTCAGTAATGGACAGTTTATTTGTTACTGGTGATATTTGGTGTTTGACAGTTCATTTGTTACTTGATATTTGGTGTTTGACAGTTCATTTGTTACTTGATATTTGGTGTTTGACAGTTCATTTGTTACTTGATATTTGGTGTTTGATAGTTTATTTGTTACTGTTGACACTTGGTGTTTGACAGTTTATTTGTTGCTGTTGATATTTGGTGTTAGACAGTTTATTTGTTACTTGATATTTGGTGTTTGATAGTTTATTTGTTACTGTCGATATTTGGTGTTTGACAGTTCATTTGTTACTTGATATTTGGTGTTTGATAGTTTATTTGTTACTGTCGATATTTGGTGTTTGACAGTTTATCTGTTACTGTTGATATTTGGTGTTTGTCAGTTTATTTGTTACTTGTTATTTGGTGTTTGACAGTTTATCTGTTACTGTTGATATTTGGCGTTTGACAGTTTATTTGTTTCTGTTGATATTTGGTGTGTGACAGTTTATTTGTTACTTGATATTTGGTGTTTGACAGTTTATTTGTTACTGTTGATATTTGGCCTACAACATTTTACTTGCTGAAGTTGATTTTTGAGTTTATGTCAGTTTGTTTGTTTAAAGTTGATTTAAACTTTGACAGTTTATCTTGTTGAAGTGCAAATGTGGCCTATTTCTTGCTAAATTCATAATTCCTCGATTAGAAATATGCATGCCTGAACGTGTATTTCTATGTTGTATTACCGACACAAATATTTCCACAACATAAATAGCTTGAAAAGTAAAACCCAAAAATTTAAAAAATAAAATTACATACTGAATTATTTACTCATCTCACAAATCATTTCCCTGTTCTTACTATTTATGACATATTCTCACAAAACACTACCCGTTCTCACTTATTATTATTACCTGTTGCTACAAGGTATATTCTAAAATATCCGGTATAAGTTTAACCTGGAGGAGAGCGCTTTGTACATCAAAATTCAACATAGTATTAACAAACAGTTATATACGGTCAGAGCAGTCTATACTGACCTTGAAGGTAGATGATCCCCAACCTGACCTTGTAAGGTCAACAGTGTCCGCAGGAGATAAGCACATTTCTTAGACATCTCAGACTGACACAACCTGAGGAAACAACAGCTTATTTAACTACTAGTGTATAATCAAGTTCATGAACAATGTTTAAGATTAGGATTCTGAATGGATGTGTTTTTATCAGAAAACTTGTTATGCAGTCAAACCTAAATTTAGGAACCACCACCATAGGGAAGTCCATCAAGTGTTATATACAAGTCCTCCACTTAACATGAAATAACTGACATAATTGGTCTTTAAACACAAGTGGTCTCTTTATAGAGGTCGTCTCTTGAGCAGGTTTGACTGTATATTGTTAAGCAACTGGAAGTTAAGAATAACGTTGAAATAACCTCTTGTAAAACTTTGTTGATGATATAAATGGGTCTGTTTGTTGAAGTATTTATAAAATCTGACAAATGAGATACCATGGGTAGTATAATCTTTGATAAAAACTGACATGACCCTACCTGTCTTTAGAGTTATTACACACTAGACTGCCCACTCGGCTACACAGCGACATCACGTCAGAATGTAGGCCCTCCAGATGTACATTGGAGCGATGCTACAAAATACAACATGACTATCTTAAGCATTGTTACAAATACGTTATAAATACTTGATTTTTTTCATTAGTAAATATAATATTACCAAACACTTTTACTGTATAGTGTTTTTGGCATTATTGTGTTAAAGCTTTTTTATTTTCAATGGATATTTCGGTAAAACAAATTTCCTGACAATTCTCTAAATCCTGTCTATAAAGGCCGTCTTAGGGATAAAACAATAAGTCACAAAAGCAGTAGTATTAGACAGGTTTCTGATACAAAGATATTTCCACTCAGACAATATGTTTTTATATCCACGTGGTAGCTACAGACTAGCTGTTTTCTTATATAGGTTTAATTGATTTAATTATTTTCTGAAATAAAATAATCAATGACATTCCTTTATTTGGAGGCACGGTAGTCTAGTGGTAGGACGCCGGGCTCGTGACCGAAGGGTTGTGTGTTCGAGTCACGGCACTGCACTGTGTTGTATCTTTGAGCAGGATACTTTACTCTGCTTGTTCCAGTCTACTCAGCTGTAAATGGGTACGTAGTTGGGTTCGTGAACCGCTTTGGAATACTACCCTGTAGCGCCGAAAAGACAGCTCCGGCTGTATGCTCCCCAGGGAGTTGAAAAAGATAATGGCTGGTTGCAAAGGCCCTATAACCACGGATAATAATTCGTGAACCGCTTTGAGACAACCTACGGACTAGGTTGTAATAAAGCAGTATATAAGAACCTTGAATTATTTATTATTATTAAGACTTACCTCATCCTTTTGCAGATCCTTCTTCAGATTCTCCAGCTCCTGACACAGATTAATATAATCCATAAACACATGACCGCCCCTTGACCAATCAACAACTTTGTTGCATCGTGTAGGAGGAGATAACTCTGCCAGAAACTTTCTGAGATAATCGTGGTTTTCTGAAAAGTAGGAGTAAGTCTTTGAGTTGTTGCTTGTTATTGCCCATTCAATTAATAGTAGATAATCTTCAAATTTTTTCTTCTCTTGTGTGTAAACATTAACAAGAGGGGAAAATCAAATGTATTATTGCTTATTGCACATGAAAAGGCTGAATTGCATCTGTCTGGTAATGAACATTTGAGGGGGAAATGTTTAGGCATGCAGTTTTACCAAGTGGAACATGTTGGTACCAAAATTATGTCTTCAAAGCAACTGGAAGATTCCCTCAAATCAATAGGTCATGTATTATTACATGACAGGTGCATAACAAAATAGAACAATGCACATTTTGGATTATATAAACTGAACACCAAGAAATTAAGCCTTATATACCTGATTAATATAACACTATAATTTAAAAATCATTGATGTTCTTCAATAAATTATTAACCTGCATCCATATAAAATGTTAGCACAACCTTCCAAGTCCTGAGAAACTAGTAAGTGTGACGGAAGAACCAGCAAGATGAAACTTACCATTGATGATAGCGTCGGCCGCGACGTGTTTTAATACTACCCTGTGACTGTCATTCCAGTGTCCAGACTTTAGTAACTTACCATTGATGATAGCGTCGGCTGCGATGTGTTTTAATACTACTCTGTGACTGTCATTCCAGTATCCAGACTTTAGTAACTTACCATTGATGATAGCGTCGCCCGCGACGTGTTTTAATACTACTCTGTGACTGTCATTACAGTGTCCAGACTTCAGTAACTTACCACTGATGATAGCGTCGGCTGCGATGTGTTTTAATACTACTCTGTGACTGTCATTACAGTGTCCAGACTTCAGTAACTTACCATTGATGATAGCGTCGGCTGCGATGTGTTTTAAATCGTAACTTTTTTGTGTTTTATTTGATTGCAATAAGACTATGGTATGTTTTTGAGTTTGAAGTAAACTTTCATTTGCAACCAACTTTGTTTTGAAGTGTTGTCATTTATTCGAGAAATGGGGTGTTGAACAACAAAAACGAACAAAAAACGCAAAAAAACAACAACATTTTCTCAACAATAACTCTAACATACCTAATTTACTGTTATTCTTCTGTCACATTTTACTTGTGTAGCTCAGGAGAACATGTTATCTTGAAATATACCATGCTGTGGTACCTCATAAAGCATGGGTACACACACAAGGGAGTGTCACACTGAAGACATATGAACTGGGTTTGATGTCGCTTTTTCTGCTCGCGGTCAGAGCAAACAGCACAGTCTGGAGTTGACCTACGTCCACCTGCTGTCATGTGGGGATTCATGGATGGGAAGTGTTTCTCTGTAAGCCTAGAAGGGGGGTTGTTCACTGGCCTAGCAAATCTCTTGTTTGTAGGTTCATAGCCTTCAAGCAGACCGTGAATGACAGCTAACCGAAACTTCATTGAGGACACTTTTTTCCCTCCATTGAGAGATTTCCAGATAATTTTGCTGTTACAGAAAGTCACTTCAAGCAGATTACAGATGACTAACTTCTTCCACCATTTTAGCATTCTGTGTTGAGATACACAATATTGTGTTTGTTGATCTGCAACATCTACACCACCCATATGTTGTGTGTAAAGTTGTATCGCTCTGGGGTGGTCAACTTCGCGTACATGGCCGTCATGAAACTTAGATCTCACTGTCTTGGTGTATGTACTGCCATTGTGGACAGTTGTCAGCATGTTCACCTGTCTCTTATCATGCCAACATATGTAAAGTTTGTTACCCTGTCTCACAACAACTGGGAGGTCACCTTTTTTGGGTTTGGCGGTCTTCACCGCATTAGGAACTCCTATCCTATTAGTCCGCAGCGTGCCACATGCTCCCGTCTGGTTATCCTCAAGATCCTGGAATAGTGATGGGCTTGTAAAAAAATTATCACAGTACAGGTGATGACCTTTATGTAATAAAGGTTCTGTAACATTCATTACAACTCGGTGAGCAGCTCCTTTGGTGGGATCTCCAGCAGCTTTTCCTGTATACAACACCCAATTGTACACGTATCCTGTACTGGACTCCGCTAAAGTCCAAGTTTTCAGCCCCCATTTATGGGGTTTTGAAGGGATATATTGCAGATACTTGGTCCTTCCTTTATATGGAATTAATGTTTCATCTACAGACAGTTCTCTCCCGGGATAATAATAGTGTTGCCATTGAGAAACAAGAAGTTTTGCTACCTCAGAAAATTTGTAGGTAGGGTCAAAATTTGGGCTGTCACGTGGTGGTTCTTGTGAGTTATCAGCGGCGTGGAAAAATGACAAAATATTTAAGAACCTATCTCTTGGCATTAATACAGTAAACCCTTTCAAAGATATTAACTCATCAGTGTTCCAGTATGAATCGTAACCAGGTAAACGTACTACACCCATGTAGAGAATAATCCCAATGAAAGCTTTCATTTCCGAGTTCGTGACGTCAGTCCACTTTCTCGCACGGGCGTGAGGTTTTAAGTTTTCAACTCCACCAAGATTTGTGATGTACTGTTCATAGTATAAGTTTGTTTGAGTCACTAATATATCGATAATTTCATTATTGAATAACGTAAGAAAAATATCCGACTCCGATCCTTCCACATGTTTCGGTCCCGAATTTTCGGAAAACTCAGTCAACCACGGAGAAAAATATGCATTATGCTTTGGGTCACGATCTTCCCTATCCATTTCATTCTCAACTTCTTGTTCAATTTCCCGCAATTCCTGATCATCCAAATCAATGTCGGCATCAAGGTCAAAGTTTTCACCGATTTCATCACCAATATCTTCTGGATAGAAGCCCATAAATTCATCATCCTCGCTATCGGAGTTACCGACAAGTTCGTAAAATTCGGCTTCAGCCATTGTTGCAAAATATTTCAGTCAAAACATGCAAATAATCCCATTTTTCTGACATAAATCAATGACTTCTATCACTGTTGATTTTTGACCGCCATCTTGGATCTCACCTCTATTGACTTCCCGCGAGATATCATATATAGTAACACGGGAATTCCCGTTACATAAATTAGAAAACGAAACCTATTCATGGGCGGTATATCCCGCCGGCAGTGGCACACGGTAAGATAAGCGTGGGCGGGGATTCCCGCCAGCCGCAGTCTAAGAGTTAA